ATGACATTCAGGGATGCCAATGTGCTGCTGGCCAGCTGGGGTTGGTTTGGGTGGGAGCATCCACAGAGCAAAGTCCTAAACCAATTAGTGTCCTTGTTTTTGCACTTGTATGTGTCTGACAGCATGTGATTGCTCTAGGGAGCTTGGGAATTCCTTTTAAATCAGTCATGTCTGCTGTGGGACAGCATGTTTGTGCTGCAGGGCAGGGAGAAAAGAGGAGAGGAGCTTATGGTCTGCCCTTGCTTGATGCTTCTTTCACATTTTATTACTGCTTTTGGTTCTTCTTTACACTTCTTCCTTTCMTTTTTCTTTGAAGAAATGTATTACTTTGTTTTCCCTTCATACACTTTTACCTTCCTTTCCTTAKYTRCACTGCTCCTATGTGCTATTTTTTTCCACTGCTAACCTTGAGAAAAGGAAGCTCTCTATTCATTAAAAGCCAAACAGTGGTGGAAGGAAATGTGTGCAAGAGTACATGAAATAGTGCTTAATCCTGTTCCCTGAAGATGCTGGGGACGATCCGACAGGTTGGTGAGAGACATCTGAGAGTGCAGAACGGTGCATTGGCAGCTGTGCAATGAGGAAAAAAGTGTCTTTCAGGAAATGGTGAATAACCTCTAAGCATAGTGATGTAACTGGGAAAGGGAAAGAATGGGTCACAGAACAAGCAGAAAACAATAGAAATTGTTGCTGCCAAGGTTGGGGCTTCCTGMATCTTTGAGGATTTTCTGTAAGATCATGGTTTTGAGCTGCTTGAGATATCTTCACTGAACTTGGGAGCTAACAGCTAAGAAATCTGTGTCTGGCTGGTAGTTGTGTTTCACAGTCACACCWTGTAGCTCCAGCAGGGTGTGCAGGGATGGGGAGAGACCCTCAGTGGGTCCTCACTTTCAAACAGATATAATGTCCCAGCAGTTCTTGAGGGGTGCCAGCCTATGGATAGAGTGAAGCCAWCTGTTTTTTTTAAACACAATATAGCTCTACTAATATCTGATATGATRCTGATAGCCAGGTAAAGTTGACTCAGATTGACTAAGCCAGGCCACTTCCCYCTCACTTATTCTTGTAATTAACTAGGAAAATACCAGTCCCTTTTGAATCTGTTTGCTCTAATATCATTAAGGTGCTTCTGCAGTTCAAGGTCATAGGGATTTGATGGTAGCCTGAGGTTCACAGGACATTTAATCTTATGGCAAAGAAATTCCATTACCTGTTYCCTTCATATATTTGTATTTCAAAATTGGCCATTCTCCATCAGTCCTGAAGCACGTACATACATTTATGATTAAAGGTATACATTGCATGCCATTAAGACTGTGCTATTTTTGGTGTCCTTTTTAACAAGTGAAAATAAATACCTYGAAAATATTTTCATTTTGGATACTRGATTATCAAATTAGACACATTTAAAGGCCCTTTTTTAGACTAACAATAGGATTTTACATTCTCCCTAATTCGTTCCAACCTCATGCTTCTTGCAGACAGTGCCAAGTAATATGAATTGTGTCTACTGACTTCTGTATAAAGAGGAGTTTAATTTTAAACAGTTCTGAAAACTGGAGAGCTCTGATTCATTTTAAATTGTTCCTAGCTTGATTTCATTTGCACTTGCCGTGAAGGATTCTACTCTGCAAGTGTCCTTGCTGGACTTGGTTAGTACTTCTGTTATGTTGTAATCTGTATTAATTATCTACTAATTAGTGAAAAACTGCTCTAATGCATGACCTAAACTACTAATTAACCTTTCTGGGTTTTGTTTTGTTTTTCTTCTTAATGGAATTTTATCTGCTAGTAGAYTATGTGGAAGTAGAAAAGTTATTTTTATGGCATAAGAGGTTAATAGGCCCAGATTGTTTAGGCTCTCCCATCTAACCTGACTAGATCTGTTTGTCATTAAGCTGTGTTTCAAAGCTTGCTTCATAGAGTGAGCCATCAAAAAAAGAGTGGTGTTTGATATCTGAGATGGAGCAGTCATCATTATGGTAATAGACTTGTGATTAACTCAGTTTTCAAAAATGTTGTACAAAAGTTTAAAAAAAGGAAAGAAAACAAACATGAAAAGAAAGACTTCTTTTTAAGTTTGGGACACCTGCTTGCCTAGGTAAGTTACACAACCTGTGAAGTCACAGAGAAGGTAACTAAATGTGATAAAATGCTTTAGAAGCAAAGCTTAATTGCAGTGTTCTGTCCCTTTCTAAGCTTTGAAAGGAGGTCATGAAATTTAAATTTCCTACTTTTTCAGTTGATGTTGGTCTGGGCTTAATGATGCTGGTTAGACAATCTAAAAAAAAAGTTATTTATCCTTTTCCTAGTTGAAGATGGCAACATGTTTATTTTTAAGTTTTCTTGAAATAAGTATGAGGGAAAAAAGTTTTACAGCATGTGAAAAAGTATGATTCAGTGTTTATCAAGTTATGGTTTAATAATAGTAACAATTCTGTAAACAGATGCTTTAGTGATTGCTTAAAATTAAACAAAATAGTACTTGTATGGAGTAGGGGAAAAAGGATTTAAGGTCACAAATACTGTAACCAAGGGGTTTTTTTCATAAGAAAAGTAATTAAGTGTGCCTGCAGCACAAGTCACAGTAGTTGGATGTGCGTGTACTGCTTGCTTTCTGGAARCATTAAACTCTGCTAAAAGTTGTCTCTCAGTAAAGCATTTTTTTAGCCTCTGGTGTCTGGACTGAAAAGTGCAGGGATGTTATTCTTGAGTACCCCACAGGTCTTGTAATCCTCTTATTAATTGATACTCCAGTGTCATTTAGTAGGTATATGGGAAATGTATTTTATGTGAGAATATGCTGCCATATTTGATTGCCAGGCCATACATTTCTTGAGCTCAGGCACATGGTTGAGATGGGTGTTAGCATTCAGTGGATCACGTGGGAGATGGTCACAGAGCTGGGGTTTCTTTCCTTAATAAAGGAAGATTCTGACGATAGGAGAAGTCTAATTCTCGCTATAAGTTATATTCTATGTCTAGAATGTCCTAATGTTGTGGGGATTTTTTATTGGGGGGAGGGTGGGTTGTGTTGCCTGTTAGATTAATGCTCTCAAGTATGAGRAAGGGAGAGTGTGAGCTAAATTCCTGTTAGAGAGCAGTAACTCGCATGGCTCTTCCTTGTGAGGATCTGTGTTCTAAGGAGATGAGGAGATTCTGTGCTCTGAGATATTATTTGGGAAGGGGGGCAGGTTGGTTTTGTGGTTTGTTGTTTTCATTTTGTTTTTTAAACTTAAGAATGGTGGTTTGACCCCAATTCTAAGCATGTGAGTTTTAAGTTTTGGGTAACTTGTTGTTGTTAAGCCTGATTATTTTAAGATTACTRTGAATTGTTCCACTGTATTTTCAGCCATAAATCCAAATACACCTTTAACAGGAATACAGCTGAATATTGAAAAAAATGATAAACTGGCTTAATCCAGTTAATCAATTAATTGATAAACCACAGTATTAAGAAATAAAAAAAAGGAATGTTCTCTACTTCTAGTTTGGTTTTTTTGTGATTTACGTAAGGCATTCACTTTTGTTATACAGGTAAACAAAGTGGTGCCATACTTGTTTCTCCTCGATGAAGCATTACATTGGAAAATAACTGATGGTATTGTGAGACAAGGATATTGCTGTTATTCTCAGGAAAAGGTAGAAGTGAATAATTTAGCAAATGCTAGTAGCACAAGCACCATATTACTGAATTCACTGCAGGATGTAAAGAAATTTTCGTCAAATGCGACTGCGGAAGTAATGCCTTTTGTTTCCTGTCAGCATTAAGATGTCTTCTATCAGTATTAGCCACTAACCATTATGTCTCTTATTGGTATTAACCTTTATGCTATSAGGTCATTCCTGCTCCCTTGTTCATTAGATCACATTTTTGATTGAGAATTTTTATATATCTTAAAAAAGGAAGATGTTATTCTATAAGCAGCTGGGGTTTTTTTCCCAGGCTGTTGTTGTCATATCATAGAAATAAACTCAGAGCATGAATGCCACATTATTAAAAAATTACTTTATGACTCCTCAAAACAGGCAGTGAAGAAAGGCTTTGACTGATGAAGGAATTAATTTTATAAATAGCTGTTGGTAACATAAGCTAGGAGCTTTGTTGTAACACAGCTTTTAATTGATTTAGTTATAGGCTTTGCTGTGCTAGATGTKGCTCAACTTGTACTTCATAGTTTCATGCATGCCTCTCACCTCYCTCYTATTTAARGGTTGKTWTTTTCTTTCCTGAAATATTTAGCSATTGAGCTGTARGCTTTAYTATCAAGGAGTTTTCCAAGTTCAAYAGACACATGCTTTCTCTTCCTGCCAATTGATTGTGCTCTTTAAGTACAGGACTTGTATTGGTATGACTGATGTACTATTGTAGGCAGCTGAATTTATTTGTATTTTACTCTCTGAGTATTAATGGCTTCAGGAAAGTAGTTGTGAGATAGATTTTTGACTTTCAGTTGTCTTGGTATGGGAGGAATAACTGCAAATATTGGTAGTCAGCTTAGGCTGACTCACTACATGTGAGGATATGCTTCACAGCACTTTCTCTCAGACTTACACAGTCAGGTAACCATGAAATGTGTTGGTTCTCCATATAATAAGCTAAAAAAGTATTTAGTTGTTTATTACCTGCTAATTAAAGTTTTAATGAATTTTGGGGAGGAATCTTTTAATCCCACCATACAAGTTCAATATTTTTGCTATGTTGTTATTTGCTAGAGAATCTGAAAATGAGACTGCTTAGGTAATTTGAATCATATAGACAGAAAGTGCAAGTGTGAAAAGATAATTGGATGAAATAATTTGCTCATTTTAAGRTTATTTATTTTACCTGTCAGTGTCTCTTTTTTATAAATGCTCCAGCTGGTGGAAATATATTAYTACATTTCATTCTCATTTTCAGTCTTTGAAATATAAACACCACTTCTGAAGAAGAGCAAATCAAAACAACTATGATGAGACTTGTTCTTTCTATTGACTGCATTTTTTTTCTTAATTTGAAGGTCATTCTGTGAGACTGCTGGGTCAGAAAAARGATAATGGAAAACGTTTGGGGGGAGCTCGACTGGATTTGCCAAAGATTAGGAAGAATCCACTGATAGAAATAATTTCCATCAATACAGGGTAAGAATCTTCCAAACATTCAGTACTGTGGAGGAATTCCATTTATTTCTTTCTGCAGGTCTCATGTACAAYTGCTAACCTACACAGAAGGAGGCATGATGACCACTTTAAAATAATTTAAAATGTTAAATTACATTCATATTGGGAAATAAATTCTTGCTTCTTTGGTTTCGAGAAAAAAGGAGCATTTATAGGGTTTTTTCCCCAATGTTATTTTGATTTCTAAGATGGTGGTTCCAGAATGTTGTTGGTAACTCATGATCTGTAAATGTCGTTAAGACCTGTCTGATCTGATTGTCAGCCCAGATGTGTTAATGGCTAAATTAGATATAGCTATTTCTGTCTTGCCTCTCTAACCTGTGTGTAAAGAGTCATCATGTATCTGTTTCATTCTTGTCTTCATTTGAGCAAGCTACTCTCTCTTATCAATCAATTCTGGATGCCCACTTCCCCACAAGATTGCAAACATTTTTTCTGTTCTGTACTCCTACTTTGAGGAATTCTGTTTTAATCTTCCTTCCTTTGATGCTTTCCTTTTATTGACACCAGTTGGTATGCTTCCATTTTGTCAGTTTACTAAAAAAAAAAAAACAAAAAAAACCAACAACAAAATTCCTACACAAGTCCTCTTATGATTTTCCCATCTTCTTCAACTTATGTCGTAATTTTCCTGGTGGTAAAATTTAAAATGCATTGTTCTAGGTGTCCCAGGTAGGTATGAACTTACTGCATAGAATGAAAAAAAAGTGGTGTATCTCATCTCACTTAGTTCTGAGTTTAGATTAGCATGTTCATAAACATTTCGTAGAAGAGTTTTGGTACTRTCTTCTTTCTTACTTCATTGTCTTTTAGTAATGTGGCCTTCATAGAATTGCTGTGAAACCTAGTATGCTATTTAGCTCAGAATACCAGTTCAAGGCTTAGTGTGGTTACTTTTTTTTCCTCTGGTAATACATGGGTGACRTTTTGTCATATTACTGAATTATAATGCCTTTTTAAACTGCATTTTTTTGCATGGATTGGTTTTGAAGTCTGAATATAAGCTATTCTGGTGCAGTTGCTTCAAATGTTCAAAATTCTTTCCCTTATTGTCTTTCCTGCCAACATCTTGTTTGTGCCCATCTAAATACTTTTCATTATTAAAACCATTTTTTTACATTTGGCTGTGTGACTTTCAGATGGTATAAATTTTCCTTGTGCATTAATATTTATCACAATCTACTGTTTTATTATCTTTTTAGTTGTCAGTGTTGTCAAGGTTGTAAGCTAATTGAGTTATGGTCTTGTTCATGTCTTTTGATGTAATTAGTAATGAATTTAAGACAGAAAAATTAGAAATACTGTTATTTCTAATATCATATTATTACTAGTCTAATTATGGAGGTTAATAACAGGGTGGTGTAGGGTACACTTGGCATTACATGGCTGATGAGGGTAGCAACTATTTGAWTTTTTTTTATATATTTTTAACAGGTGTATTTTATACTGGGTTTTGAAAAAACAATTATTTCTCAAATTGATCAAAYTGCAGACTGTTAACATCTAAGAAGTCACCCTCAGAAACCCTTTCCTTTAGAAACTGATTGTTTACAAACAATACTAGTTGTTATTGCAGTTCTCAGGTCAATATATCGCGTATTTTCTACCATAAGACAGTATAAAACAATATTGGAAACCACAATAACAGATCTGTTTCATGGAGAAGAACAAAAAATATGACTTTATAAGGCCAAGGCATTTTTAAAGCTTCAAACAAACAAATTAGTTGTGTAAGACACCTAAATTAACTACTGTCTCAATCTGTGTTATCTGTTGCCTGCTTTCCTCTCTGGAAATACAAATTCTTGTGCTTTCTTTTTTTCTCTTCCCCTTCCCTCTCTCCAGCCTCTCCACCTGTCTATTGTAGGTGGCTTTTTTGGGTACTGTTTTGGGCTTGAAAAACGAAGTGTAGCTTTAGAAAGGCAGCAGTGCTCAGCAGTTTCTGAAAAGATAAAAATGTAGTGAATTAAGAACAAGACACAGAATGTATTAGTCACTGTGATTTGACTGTGTTAATTTTATCATCTTTGCCTTTGTAGTCTGGCTATGCCAATTTTTAGTACCAACACCACATTGGAGCTGAGTTGTTTTCTCAAAGAAAACTTTGAAAACTATTTTTGGTACACTGCTCTTTATTAAGAGGTGAGAGTTCTCTTTACGGAGGTGAGTTTGGATCAGACTAAGTGGTCTTAAAATAGTAAATAATAAATTCCCTAATCACAGAATGTGCTGAGCTGAAAGGCACCCAMAAGGATCATTGAGTCCAGCTTTTAGCCCTGCACARGCCAGCTGGAAGAGTCACACCATGAGCCTGGGCGATGAAATTACCACCCACAGCCTGAGTGTGTCCAAGGGCTCCGGTCTGGATCCAAAGGGTGTGAGGCAGAGACAGACCTGGGGAGAAGAGTACAGATAACACAGTTGTGAGGAGAGGAGTGCAGGACTGGAGGCAGCCATGGTGCTGAGGCTCAGGCCAGCTGTGGGAGCAGAGGCTGAGCTGTGCTGGGGCTCCTGGTGCACAGCRGCTATGGAGGCACAGCTGAGGGCCTGGCTGTGGCCACGGGGCTGGGACAGGTGGTGCTGAATTGCCATTTCCAGCTGGGCTTTTAATGAAACCTCAGCCTATTCTGTGGGGGAAGAAAAGGCTTATTGGAGCMTSTATATTCCTCCTCCCCAAAGCACTRGAGTCTTTGMTGGCTCACGCTARCCTCTTTCCCTCYGTAGTAGGATGAATTCCTTTATGTGCGTGGACATCTGCCAGCTGGAGCTGTTCTTCTGAGGGTTCAGAAGGACCACTTAATTTTTGGAAGGCTCCAAAAATGCTTCTTGTTAAGACACAGTCATATGGGTCTAAGAGATGTCTTTGTTTCTCARCTCAAGATGGTGTCAAATTTTGTAATTTTGACTTGAGACTTATTTTATTGGTTCCTTCTTCTCTCAGAGATAGAGAAAAAAAGAATTTCCTGACCTTCTGTTCTTGTAAAGCTGTGAACTAATTCCTTACTTGTCCACGCACAAAGGCATGCCTGCGTATGTACTCTGCTTTTGTTTTGCCCAGACTGCTGCTGCACATGAGTGTCCTCAGCTGTTTGCATGAATCAGATCTGTCCCATCAAGGGACAAACATGTTGTGTCTCCACTACAATCTGCAGTCTGTAGTAATGATAATTAAAAATAAACCAAAACAACACYCCACTAGGTATGGAATATCTGTGAAGTTTAGGTGCTACTCCTGTCAGTTGTGAGCCAGCTCAGAGGTTTCGCACAGAGGCACATTTGTCTCCAAAAACTCTGCCCTTACAGGGACCTAGGTCTTATTCAAGTTTGGCACTTTTATTATTTTATTTTATTTTTAAAGTAATGGACAGTTTTTTCCTACTTTTAAYTTTGATTGTCCTGAGGGTTGTTGTTTTCTTATTGAGAAATCCAACCTATCTGTTTAATTTACCATGACATTTGGTGGTTTCTGTCAACAGACCATGACTCTAGAGAAAAGCTCCTGTCCCAGGAGTGACATGTTTCAGAGTTTCCAAGTATGTTTGCAGAGTCTGTGGTGAGTTACTGGAATGGGGACACAAGACACTTACCAGACTTCTTTGACGTGCAAAGATATGTTAGTGACTCTTCCTTTTGCCATGTGTCAGAGATATAAAAAGTCCATACCATCYCAGTATCCCATACAAGCTGTAGATTGACCTCCGTAATCTTCCCCTAAGAAATGTGACCTTTTCTTCCTGTATTGTTTGCTTTCTCTGTTATTGTTTAGAAAATACTTTCCAATGTTTTCCAGATCAATTATTCTTTTTTTTTTTCTTTAAAATAGGCAGTTAAAAAACTGTGATTGTGACGGTGCCCAGATGCCTGTCTTAATATTAGTAAGTTCTGCAGTGGTATTAGTAGATCTGAACCTAGAAACAGTGATTTGTTCCTGCACTACAAAGTAATTTTCTGGTTTGAATTAAGGGCATCTGGTTAAATCTCTTTCACTTTTATTTATGTCATAAGCATGTATTGTACAGATCATCATCTTACTGTAACAAGCCAGGTAATGGTAGTAGAAAAGCATGTTAAATGCTGTTTAGTGAAAAGGCATACATTTTAAAACTAATATCCTAATGTGATTATTCTGTCTGTTAGTTTGAAGTAAGAAAGAGAAATGTTCTCAAATTAATTTTGCAATACAGCTTAATTTAGGTCTAGGGAAAAATCTGTTTCTCTTTGCGGTCTCATCTTCATTAGTTCCAGTTTCATAACCCATGTAGCCACCTAGACAGCTCCCTTTAATGGGATCAAGACTTATTCTTCCACATGTTAATTAATTCTGTATCTGCTTTGTAGCTTGGACTATGATTCATGTATCTTTATTGTTGGTAWGACTTGAACTCCCTTTTTACCACTCACATACATTCAAATATGACTTTATTTGTGTTTTTTCTGGATGCCCTGGGAAGCATGAGAGAAATATAACGTCACCTGAATGTGAGCCCTCACTAGAATTTGCTTTGGATGGGTTTGCACATAGGTTTGCTGAAGTGCTTTCTGTATTATTTTTGAAGTTTCTACCTCTCTGCTTCCCTCCGGAGTAGGTGARCTGCTGCACTGCTCAAATGACTGGCTAGAGAAGAATGAAAATACACTGACCATGGAATTCAAAACCAAAAGAAACATGGTAGTGTACATGCACACATTAGACTAGATTATTCTGGCAGTGCTGGAGGGTCTTKGAGAAGATCAGCATCACAGAAAGATTTTCAGATCTGCTTTTGTGTCTTAAATGCTAACTAAAACGTAACGCTTCAAGCTTGTTACTCTCAGCACTGAAGAACTGCAACCTTTCTCCTCACAAGACAGCCCTTGCTAGCAAAGTTTATGTTGAGAGTGAACACAGTGCTTAGAAGCTTGATGCATCCTGCTAGTTTTGTAGGGGTGTTTTAAGTCATGTTATGAAGTCCTCTAATAGT